TTATCAACTTATCTCATTCCTCTTAGATGTTGTCCAGTGTGTGAGCTCAAGGTACTGACTGTATCGTCTTCAAGATGTTTCCCTAGTCTTCTCTTCCCTCCTCATTCTGTTGCCTCTTCTCCAGTTTCTTCTTCTTCTTCTTCTTCTTCTTCTTCTTCCTTGTTCCACCCTCCATCGCCCACATCCAGTTCCGGAATAATCAGAGATACAACTTAAGGCACCCAGAGCTACTCAGACCACCCCCCCCATGCGCTCCTCTCAGTCCCAGACCTCCATAAAATATCCCGGTGTGAAGATGTGGAACAACTTAACCCCACACATCCCAGCAAAGACTACGCTCCCTTCCTTTAAATCATCTCTAAAAAAATATCTATTGTCTAAGTATTAATATTTCTTGTAACACTTACTATATTTACAGTACCTGCTTTTATTGTACCATCAAAACCGTTTTATCGGCAATTATCATGTAAATAAATAAGTAATTACCATTGCAATAAACATAATTACCAACTAGACATAATCCTGACAGCTCTGTCCTCTTGTTCAACCTTATTACTGTACGACCAAGGTTGTACTGCTCCCCCATTATACTTTTTTTTTCAATTCCACTGTAATTTATATATAAATAAAAAAATATATTGTACTACTCCAGATGATACTAAATGTTACATAATACTTCCTTGAGATAAATGTATAGTATATATCAGGTGCAGCTCAGGTTCTCAGCCATGTTAATATTGTTATTATTATCCACTCTGTATCTGTGTTCTTATGGCTAAATAAACTGTTTCAATTCAATTTCGTGTGGTCCTAAGTAGAAGCAGACGACGTCCTGGTGTGATGTCATGGACTCTGAGATCGGTTGGTGATGTCAAGTGGATTTTGAAAGTGTCTATTGACGTCAAGTGGGGTTTTAATTGACTAATATTGTTACGTAGGTCTCCTGACCTTTTTGATGATGTCACGAGGGTTCTTGAACCTTGCAGTGACATCAAGTGACTTTTGAAAGTATCTGGTAATGTTATGTGATGTCTGGAAGTGGCCTTTGACATCAACAGCCTTCGGGATGTGACCACTGACATCATACACTCCTTTCAGTTAAATAATGATGTCACAAACCCTATTGGCGTCATAATATAGCCTTCATGAGCAGCTAGTGACATCATTTACCGGTTGGCATCTGTTTTCACTCAAAAGTCAATCGTATTCCATCAATCTTAAGAGCTGAGTGATGTCACATTAAATATTGGTCTCAAATAGTGATATCAAATAACCCTTCCAAGTAATCGATGATGTTAAAGACGTCACAAAACATCCAGAAACAGAAATTGACATCACACCATCATTCAAAGTCAATCGTAACACATGACATCATCTTAAAACCTCAATGATGTCACAATAACAATTTAAATTTGTCATAGAAGTAAATGACATCAGGTGGGCCAAATTCTTTAATGGTTTAACCCTTTGAGGACGATGATTTAACCCTTTGATGACGATAATTTAACCCTTTGAGGACGATAATTTAATATAAATAAATGTAAAATGGAATAATTCTTAGCATTTCTTCAATTTCAATTTAACTTAGATTTCTTCTGGAGAATTTGGTCCTAGAATTAACTATTGTAGATTCCATTCGATTCGTTTTTTTTGATAGAATTTGATTTTTGTTTTCTTTGACAAATTTAATATATATTGGATAACTATCTTAGATTTAAATCGCTTACAAA